GGTTTCTTTAGCTGCTGTTTCCACAGTCAGGAGGGAACTTTAAACCCCAGTTTTTAAGCCAAAGTGAACGAAACATCTTTAAAATGCTTAAAATGAATTGAAACTCCTGTATCTATAACCAGATGACAAATGATCAGATTCTCTCTCAACAGGCAGCGTTTTGTAAGACTGTATCAAGTCCCTCTACTTCTTACGACTTGCGAGTCACCTGATGGAAAAGTTGCAGAATAACTAGAATAAAATTGTGTGCTTATATAAAAAAAGACCTTCAGTTCAATCATCTATATAGTCGCACAGGTTCAGCTTCACTAAATGGTGACGACATTGTACCTCTTTGATGTAGAGAAAGTCCTTGGCATGAAAAGAGACAGCAGTGCCAGCTTTTTAAAAATGATTTAGCCATTATTTTTCCTGAAAGTGATGTATTGATAGATCTGAATGCGGCAAAGCTGCAACAATTATTTGATTATTTGATTAGTTGTCAACTATTATATTAATCAGCAACTTTTCTAATAGTTTCATAACCAGCAATCTGTTGAGTAAAGAAATTCTAAATTCTCCAGCTTCGTATATATGGATATTTTCCAGTTTCTTTCCTCCACTTTGACAGTAAACTGAACATTTTTAGGTCATTTACAACACAAGACATTTGAGAACATGTGAAATCTGTGTATCTACAAGTGAATGATAAAAAGGCGGGTAAAGAATAAATGATCCGATTTTCTGTTGGTAGGCGGTTTGCTTGAGTTATGTTCCTCTAACTTTTATGACAAGTGAGTCACCTGATGAAAAAGTAGTGGAATAACTAGAAAAGCTGTGTGCGTCTACAAAAAAGACCTTCAGCAGACTCAGTTCAATCATCTATACAGTCCCACAGCTTTAGCTTTACTGAATAGTGACGGCATTGTACCTCTTTGATGTGGAGAAAGTCCTTGGCATCAAAAGAAACGGCAGTGCCAGCCACAGGAACATCCTCATCCAACGCACCGCAGTAGCTGACATTGGTCCTCACAGCGAATGCCACTGCTTTAGTCTGTAAGACAGAAGGGATGGAACAGTAACCATAGTGACAGATGGTGTAGATATCTACCATATAACATGAAATTTAACTAAATAAGCAGAAGCAACAGTGGAAGGAAGACATAAACTGCAAGTTTCCTGTCAACAGAGTCTCTTAATGCAGCATCAGTGGGTTCCAGCATCACACATGCATCCAGCCTGCCTGCAGTGAGGGGTGGGCGCTGCTGAAAAGAAGCTATTTCAGAGCTCCTGACAACGCTGGCTGCAAGACAGCAGCAATGGTGATAACAGCACATAGCAGGAGAAGGTAGCAGCTCTCAGTTCAAGGTGATAAAGCCCTGATAATATACAAAGATGGCTCCTGCAAACACTCCATTTCATGTTATTTCCGTCTTTTTCGTGTTATCTCTCCTACTATGAGCTACAAGTCTGGAATAGACTGTCGGCTACTGAGGTAATGATTGTCTATTCTTTAATTCTATTGCTTTCCTTTCATTTCACTACTCATGATTAGTTGACAATTATTATATTAAATCAGCAACTCTTCTGATCATTTAATAATCAGTTTAAGTAATTTGTTTTTTTAAAAAAAGCCTAAATTCTTTTATTCCAGCTTCGTGAATGTTAATATTTTCACCCCTTGGACATTAAACTGAATATCTTTGGGGGGCAGACAAAATAAGACATGTTAGAACATCATCTGGGATATTTAGAAACACTGGTTGATGTTTTTAGCCTCTTCCGACATTTTATAAGCCAAACAACAAACCTTTATTAATCAACAATGAGAGTAATTGTTATGTAACACATGAAACTGTGTCCTAAAGACTACATCACAGCTAAATACTTGACGACACTGTTGTATATATTTCATGTAGCTGCTTTAGTTTCAGGGTCCTGCTATTCTGCTTCCTGGCTCAGTGTCACACTTTAACATTGTTAATATCATTAGCTAGACCCGACATGCAATTACAATACAACCAGAGATACTGACACTAAAGCTTACATTCAAATTATCCCTCAGCAGCATTGCATTGTGGTCTACTGAAGCTAATGTCAGTGAGGAAACTGGACCCTCTGCCTGCTCTCTTTGACTGCAGGAATGAAAACCAAAAGCAGAGGCTTAGTAGTGATGTTGTAAACCAGTGATTTAGTCCTGACCTGCTGAACTCGCTGTGGCTAAAATAACTTTCAACATGACTTTTTTTCATTTTCTTCTTATCCCAGGATTACGAAAGGTAAGAAATTCATCCTCAAACAAAGGAAAATGTGATGAGAACAGGATCAGTGCAAATTCCGACATCTAGACAAGCTGACAGCCTTTTTAGACATAATTAATGCAGAGGAACGGTGCAGCCAGTGAAACTGAATTGTATTTCAGCTCAGATTGTATGTTTTTTCTAGTCACTGACTGTATAGAATAATGGATGAATCACCCATAGATGTACAGAGGACTGGTTTTTAAAGCTCAGCATCACCATCTTTGGCAGGGCCTGACAAAGAGACGGAGTGTGACTGAAGCTGAGGTGAACCCTGCAAACATCTCTGGGCCATGGACTGTACAATGACGACACCCATCTGTCAGTGAAAGTTGTCGCTCCCTTAATTATGCATAACTTTAAGCCTTGCTATAGTTTAAATAGTTGAGTTAAATAAGAAGTTACTCTTGTACAGTTGTCATGAATGGGGAAATTAGCTATAGAGACCAAAACTGTTTCTTGTACCTGGGTGTAAATAGATTTATTTCTGCTGCAAAGTTGGACGTTTTAAAATGAGGGCCTATGGGGATTGAGTCACTTTTGAAACCAGCCTCAAGTGACCATTTGAGGAACTGCAGGTGTTGGCACTTCCACTTAGTTTTTCATGTTGCAGCTTGGTTTTAATGTGTTATATAAAATGCAATGTTGTCCTGGAAATCATTCCCAGTTGAGCTGACCTTTGCCCTTTCGAGCTGAATGGTGGCCTGCTGCTCCCTCTCCTGCCGGCCGCCCTCCTTCTCCTCCTCCAAGGAAACATCCGAGTCAGACGGTCGGCTTGTGTAGGAATCAGCTGAGCCCTGGAGAACAAGAGGACGCAGAGGATGGAAACAACCCGTTACCAGAGGGGATAAAAGGAACCGATAACCAAGCGCAAAGCAACACCGTTCTGTGTTACAGATTAAACCTGACATCCAGCAGATAAGACTTCATGTGTCCCATTCAAAACTAAACACATTCAAATGCTAAGCAGTGCAAACAGATGCAGGACCTGATAAGAGCCTCCTGTTTCTTAAAACAACAGACTTAACAAATGAATGAGTGGGAGGTTACACAAACCCAGGTGTGTTGCTCTGTTACATGATTAGTTGTATTAGTTTCCATACAAGATCAAAGGCTGACAGAATAAAAACGATGAAGGTTTCGAACGACTAAGCTTTTATTTTTAGAGATGAAAATGAGAAACACCAGGAAGAGACTAAAGGGGAGTTGGACTAAATACAACTATGAAAGTGTTATCTGCAACCACAAAGACTGCAACGTCAACCCTGAATGGGGGAAATGCATCGCTGCACTGACCTCTATAGGTTGACAGGCTGTTGCACTTCTGACAAGGCCAGAGGAAAACACCTTTAATTCCAAGTTTTAGGTGACGTGCTCTAATCTAAATATCCTTATGTCTTTTTGTGTACTACTGAAGTTGTCTTGCCAAGCCTTGTTTTAAAGGCATAGTTTGAAAATGCTGGGAAAACATGGGCTGTTCTTGTAGAAAACTGAAGCAACTCTTGTGTCTGAACAATATGTGAGTCAGACATTTAGTTAAAAGAGAGTTTATAAAATCTGATAACTGTATAGGAGCCAGACTTGCTGCTTAAATTAGATCAGCTAAGCTTTGTATTTAATAAACAGACATGAGAATGGAGTCTGGTTTCCCATCAAAGAGAAGAGTGTATTCAATTCATAATAAAGAATTTCATCAAACTAATTCAAGTACTTTTTCAATCTTTTGCCATCATTTGTGTTTTCATTCATTTGCTGTAACTGCTAGTGATTTTTGCCCAATGGACACTGGGAAAATTAGAAATAGCACAGATGGAAGCTTAATACCAACTGTTGGACGTGATCATACCGCACATGCACACAAAATCCTTCTCTGCACATACAAAGCCAATAATGACCAAGCTCCAGCTCATCTTAAAGATCTCATAAAACCATATCGTCCCAATGGGACACTTCGCTTTTGGACTGCAGGCTTACTTGTAGTTCCTAGAGTTTCCAAAAGCAGCATAGGAGGCAGAGCATTCATCTGCCAGGCTCCTCTGCTGAGGAACCAGCTCCCAGTTTGGGTTCAGGTGACCCCCTTTACTTTTAAGATTAGGATTAAAACTTTCTCTTTTGATGAACTTATAGTTAGAGCTGCTCAGGTGACTCTGAACATCCCTCAGTTATGCTGCTATAGGTCTCGACTGCTGAGCACCTCTCCTCTCCTTTACTGTCCTCTCTTTCACCTGCCATATATTTTATGGGTGCTCACATCGGAGTATAATGACGGCTTAACACTGGCCATATGCTACCACTGCGTGTCATTAACTTTGTGTCGGCTCGCTCCTGCAGCTCCTGTAGGTTGTGTTTTGTCCTCTCTGCAGGTATCTCTGGCCATGGAGCTACACATTTCTGATCTGAGGTTACTGGCCTCACCAACGTCTCCAGTGTTTACTGTCACTGCTATTCTTCTCTCTGTCCCCTTCACCCTCACCCCAGACAGCCCCCCTCCCTGAACCTGGTTCTGCCAGATATTGGTAAAATAGACTTTTTTAATTTCTAAAGTGGCCAAAGTGCTGCTCAAAAGGAAATGCTGAATTTGCTGGATTTATCTCTACTATAAAATATTGTAAAGTCTTACCCTGAGATGACTTATGTTGTGAATTATACAAGAGTTGACACAAAAGTTTTGATGCTGTTTGTGGTGCATGGAGCACATCACGGTCATTAATGTGCAACTTGTGCGAGCAGCAGCTTTTATGAGTCAGGTGCACCTGCAGCATCCTTGTTTTCTTCAGCAATCATGTGAAAATTAGTCCTCCAGGATCTGACTACTATAATGTCTTGAAGCATCTGAGGGAGAACATTTAATGCAAACGACATGAACTGTGGTGCGACAGCATAACAGTGCTCCATTACAGCGCAGCAATGAAAGTCAAGTTAAAGCTTCACTGTTTTGACACAGCTTAAGAGATTCAGTGCTCATTGCAGAGGTTGTTTGACATGTTTAAATCATGGGTCGTCCAGGGAGTTTTACAAGTGTTGCAGAAGCACTGGGAGCACTGTATCACTGCAGAAGGAGAACATTTTCACAGGGATAGTGGCCAAATTTAAATCAGGTACATTTTGGATTTTTATATGCCCCAAACCCTTGCTATTTTAAATATTTTTTTCTCTCACCGAAAACAGCTGTGTGAAATAACCACATCGGTTTATGATAGATGCAGGTGGGTGAGAACTTAAAGGAAAAACCACCTTAAAGCGTCTTAAGATGTTGAGCCACCACTAGCCAGTGGCTTCGGTGCTCCTCAGCATTTGTCCTCCAAGCCTCTTTACTCCACAAGACGGATGAACATTGTTCCAAAGATATTTCCTTATTTGGTGATTTAATGATTTAGGGAGAGAGTAGTTTTTAAAATCCTCTGCAGTTGTTCATATCTGGTTTTTATGGAGCCATCAGCATATGATAAAGGTGATTGCTCAGCACACATTATCTGTATTTTGCAGTGGTCTTATCGCTAAGAGGACAAGTGGAGCTAAAATATGGCAAGACAAGATCCTCACCTCTATGCAAGCATCCACCCTTATTTATACATTTTTCCTTTCCTTCAATTTATTATCCATCACTACATTTTTGGTTTTATGAGGATATTTCCTGGCTTGTCCTTCAAATGTCTCTAAACTGTAGGTACCTGTGTATGCCTAGGTGTGATGTGGACACCCCCACCCACCAGAGTCTGCCTCAGGCTGGAGATCAGTCTCATACCATCACTATCATCGGAGCCATCGCCTTCTCTAACTCACCCGCTTCCTCAATCCTCGTCCTTATTAGCCACATGTCAGTGGCTGCTGGGTTGGAGGAGCAGTAAAAACGCCCACCCAGTTATTCAAGGCAGCGGCGGAGGGAGAGATTGTGAACTAGAACGACAGTGAGGCTATGACCGACTAGCCGAGGTAAATGTGCAAACGTAAACAGAAGCAACAGTGGATGTGCGGCGAGGGAGCCGAGTTCCCCAAAGCAGAGACTTCTTACAACACCAGTGTGCTCATCAAGCTCCGCTTTACATGCAGCAAGACGCCCATCCTGCAGTGAGGGGAGAGCACCACTCGGGAGATTTAAGACCTCCCAATGAAGACATCAGCAGCTGTGATCAAACTGCATACAGAGCCTGCAAGAGAAGCAGAGTTCAAGCCAAGACCAACCTGCTTTAAAGACTTCTTCTTAACGGCCATAATTGCTCTCATCTTTGTACACATTTATCATTTGTATCTTGTTCCAATCCAATATCTTGTTTCTCTTACATCTTTTTTTACTGTTTACAAGGCCGAAGACTGTCTTTAAATTGTTGATTTATTAAGAAAGGTTTTCACCTCTCTTTTAAAAGGAATTGCAACAGTGTTTTCTCCTGGTTGCAAATGCGAATAGCACTTCTGACAGTACAGACAGTCACAGTGCTTCAGCTTCTACTGGAGCTACACTGCTGTAAGAATCACAAATGTTGCTTAGATTTATACTAAAACCTGCCTTTAACTACTCTTTTAAGTGCAGAACCAACATGAATACATTGCCCTCTGTTGTTGAAACAATATAAAAAAATGTTAGAAACACTCAACAGCACAAAGTTCAAGAACAAAAACTAAAGGTTAATCTCATTTCACTAATCTCTGTCTCCTCGTCTCTGCACAATCACAAAAGACGTAACAATTCCTAAAATGCATCTCAAGGATCCAGGATCATGATGGCTTGCTGGAGGAGCTGTAAGGGTGCACAAGTGTATTCTCAATTAAGTCTTGTGACAAAAATGAGGCGGGACACACAGCTTACAAAAGATTTGTCGGAAACAGGACAGACAAATGTGTGTGTATTGTATATTTATCCATGAATCAGAACATTTGTCATTCTATATTTGTGTAGCACCATATCGTGTGCCATGACTCTTTTGTACTTCACTGCAGATATGAGTTACATAAAAGATTAAAAATGCGCGTCATCGGTACATTCTCACCGCATTCTGTCATGTTGGGAATTGAATTCTATGTAAATATATGCTAGAAGTTGTCGCGCTGTTCTGTTCGTCTGACAGAGATCATAAAATACAGTGGTAGGTTATAACAAAACAATGGATAAACGATGCCATTGTGCCACACGTCAAATGTAATTAATGTCCCTTTGAACTTTGAGGTGAGGAAATCTCATCTCCTATCTCATTGTGTCTCCTCTTCGCCTCCTTTGCTCACATCTCTGGTGGAACTGACGAAGACACCAGGAGAAGAGTTAAGGAAAGGAATCGAGGATGTACAATTAGGAGAATAAGACAAGTTTGAAGTGCAATCAAAGTTGTCATAGGCAGCTTTTGCCATTTGGGCACCATCTTGGTTTTTATTAAAACGACAAGGTCCACATCTAGATGAATGGAGAACTACAATTTCAATGATGAAAATTGCTTAAAAATGTGGTGACTTGGCCCCAAAATAAGGCTCAAAAAACATTTTTTTCCTGCAGGTTTTACTTCTACTATATGTGCACACAGTTTCACAACCTTGTGGCTGCATCAGTGCAACAACTCTATTTAAGGGATGTTTCCTGGTTACTATCCTATTCAGGGTTGTTTAGGAGACGAGTCTCTCCCTTATAACATCTGTGCTTTCTCTCTAACTATAAACTTGACATCACATCCTTCACGAAGGTAACACAAACTGCAGAATAAAGCAGTTTTAATAAGCTGTATCAAATGAAATGCCAAACACAATGTCCCCCCATAATATTATTGAGGTATTTAGTCTAAACTATTATCACAGTTTTGTCCTGAGTCCTGTC